TTAAAATGTTTCGTGATACATGAACTGCAGTAACGTGGCATTTTAGATACTACGATTTTTATGCAGGGCTGGGCACCACCTCAAGAGTGTCGCATAGTTACTTTTTGAAGTCTGAATTCGGCCCTAAAACATGAAGATACTGATTCAAAACGCTTTTAATTGATATGAACCAAAGAAATCCCTCATGTTATCTACCTAGTTTCATTGCATTCTCCTACTGCATTCCATTGCATAGCAGTCATTCCACACCGTTTGGTGCCGAATGACAGCTAGTTTCATAACTGAGCCATTTTTCTTTGAAGAGCAGCTGGACCACTGTGACTGCAGCTCGCTTAGAGTCAATGTTAAAATGTTTTGTGATACATGAACTGCAGTAGCGTGGTTTTATGCAGGGTTGGGCCCCACCTCACATGTGTCGCACAGTTACTTAGGCAACATTTGACGAGTGAACGTCTTATAGGTCGACACGTCCCCCCTTCTTGGCCACCTCGGTCACCAGATCTCAACCCCTGGGACTTTTGGATATGGGGTTATCTCAAAAGCACTGTTTATGGTGATAATCTAAACAACTCCGCAGAAATGAAAAATGTGATACACCGACATGTCCGTAACATTCCTTCTGATATGCTAAGAGCCGCTGTTGAGAATGCAGCAACAGGATCTAACTTGCTTTCGGAAAATGTTGGACGCTGCATTGAACATGCTATGTAACACGTTTCCGAAACGCTTAAACACAGTTTAAACCGATGTCTTCATGTCTTATTTCATTTAACAATATTGCATATAGCGCCATTTCCCCCTGGTGGTGAGTTTTTGAACTTCCCCCCCCGCGGAAAATAAATTCCCATAACCTCCTTTACACGATTACCAAGTTTGATAACCATTTGCCCGGTAGTTTTCTTTTTATGACTAGTAGTTTAATATTTTCAAAGTGGAACTTTAATTATAACCACCATGTAAATTAAACTTTAAAAGTTTGGCAGTTTGGTTCAAGTCCCAGCTTTAAAAATATATAGATAAATATAAATTTTTATATTAATTCTCTTAGAAAGAATATTTTAAGAAGCTAATTTTTCTCTCGCGTTAGAGATTGTATATAAAAAAAAAAAAAAAAAAAAAAAAAAAAAAAAAAACCCATGATCTTTAATGTGATTTAGTTTGTTTCAGCCGATATAAGAATCGGGTCACTCGGTGGTACAGAATAAACTCTTCTGGACTGTTTTATTTCTTTGTCATTAAGCAAAAAATCTTTTAATTAAAATATTTATCCTTTGGACTTTGCTTTACACTTTAGTTATAGTTAAAATGCTTAGAAAATGAAAAGCTGTCTTCAACTGAAACGCAGTTGATGTAATTGGTATTTTAAAAACATTTACAAGAATGCAAAATTTATGGAAGTGTAGCAATCATGGATTTATGGAAGTGTTTTGAAAAATTTGAATTTTCTTGTGGTGAGCACTGAAAATAAATGTAGAAGGAAGAATGTAGGGAGAAAGGGAAGTAAAAATTTGAAGGGCTGTGAGAAATACCAAGGTTGTTTCGGAAAGTTGGATACTTTTGAATATACTTTCAGAATACTTCAAGGAATTTGGGTGTTCAAAGAGAAAACACTTGGACGTGTACACTAGCAAATATCATCAATTGAGCTTGTGGTAACGGAAAAGACAAAAACGATATCATTGCACATTAAAGAGCGACTAGTTTTTCGACTATATGTTTGTATAAATTTAAATTACGTTATAGAACATCATATCATCGTAAACGGAGAATCCCATGAATTCTTAGTCGAATTATTTGAATATTCATGAATTTATCCAGTGATATATGTGGATGTCATCTAAAGACGTTTTCTCTCTTGATGAAACCAATCTTCCCTTTCATCTCATGCCTTAAAATGCTTAGCCTCTAAAGACTGATAAAGGCTCAGACCAAGTACTGATGAAATGGATTGAATTGGATTATTAAGTTACGGCAAAGCAGGACTATCTGCCCTAAAAGGCCTTCGTGAAGAACTTTCTAAGGGAAACCAGCTGGCGTTCTCGTTACAATGAATAAAACCACGAAAACGCCCATGCAACCAGCCCGTTTTTGAACCCCAGAGCGAACTACCAGTGTTCAGCGACTTTACCGCTCGGCCGTTTGCTGGCTTTATGGAATGGAAGGCAATTAATTTATTTAAAATGAATGTCAGAAATATCAAGATGTTTCGAAATGTTATATGATTTTTAATATACTTGCAGAATGCCTGAATTAAAAAATGAAGCCATTAAGAAGAAAAAAAATTCCATAAACTCCAGTACTTTTTTTAAAATTTAAAACTTTTTAATCTTATGATATTTGATTCTTGCGATTTCAAAAAGAAAATATTTGACTAAAATATGAATAACATTTAAGAAACTAAATGTAGGACTAAATTGCGTAAAGCAATGAGCACAATGTTAAGGCTATTTAAAGCATCCCAAATCCATGCAAGTTATCCTAAGTTAAAATGTCGGTTACACATCTTTTTCATCTATATATCTTTTCTGAACGGAACATTGAAAGGCGTGTTAACTGTGCTTTACTGTATTTTCTCTTTTAATATATTCAGTTTTCAGATGCATCGTAGTCTGGAACACAAAGTATTCTTCCGAAGAAACGCAATTCAAATAAATAAAATAAAATCCTGGAAAATTTATATTAATAAATATATTTAATATGCTCAGTTCGAATGAAAAAATAGTAAATTTGAAGAGACAATGCAACATAAACAATTAAAATGAAAGTCTAAAAATTTAAAAATTACGTAAAATAATAACTGTGACAAAAGAAAATATAAAGTAAACTATTTGAAAAAAATAATAATAATAAACGATGCACCTTATATTTAAACTACGCAGTTCGAATTGATAAACAGAAATTTTTAAAACAGTTATTCGAAAGAAACCATGTAACTTACAAAATTAAAATGAAATTCGAAAAAGAAAAAAAATATTTAAAATAATAATATAAAAATATAATATAAAGAACATTATTTGAAAGAAAGAACGTTGGGAATTTTTTCCTCTTACGCAAAAGGAAAATAGGTTGCCATACATTAAAAAGTTCGCCAAGTGAACTATTCTTGGCGGAAACTGAAAAAAAGCGCCAACATAAATTTGTGAATTTCTCCGCAAATTTCGCACGAAATTTTACAAAATTTCATATTTGGGCATAATTTGAGTCGTAGACTCGAAATATGGAAAAAAATTGGCATGTTATTTCAGAAAAAGGTCCGATTTTGTGTCAAAACACCTATGTTAGAATAGTGCTATATATAAATCTAATATATATCCTAAGTCGAGCTTTCGAGACATAAAGAACGGATTTTAAATTTCGTCAATCGGCCCAGTACATCACTTTTAAATTGTTTATTATAAATGAAAATTTGGTTGTCTGGATTCAGTTCTAATGGTTTAATACAAATCTCTGAAAAAAGAATTTTTCTTACCTGGAATTTTAAGAATTACTCTTACTTTTCGACGACATATTACATCTGCTACACGAGTTCAAAAATTGACAGAATCCACGGCTAGAGTATTTATTTGCTTATAAACTTAATTTTAAAGGAGAATATTATGTAGCAAATGAGTTTATGCTCTAATATTAAAAAGACCTCCGGAGTTTTATTATATTTAATCTAAATGAAACTGGATAAAATCTCTCAAATTAAAAATGGCTTCTTTCTGCTCAGACGTAAACTCTTGTTCCATAGACACACACCTTTACCAGCACTTACAGCACAAATGCAACTGGCTAAAAGTGTTGAGTGAAGTTCCTGTTACCCGCTTGCGATTTGGCTTAAATACACCTAAATCAAGATGGCGATAGCATTTGAGCCTCCGTAAGAAAAGAAAATTTTCAAGGTAAGTGATAGAAAAGTTATCAGAAATCATTGCTAGTTTCATTTTCGCCCTAAACGTTTTTTTAAAAATAGTATTGAGGTTTCTCTTATCCTTTCACAGATCTTCCCTAATCAAAAAGTAAACCTTTTAAAAATTAATTAAAATACCTCATTGAGAAAAGAATGCGTGGTGGACTTATTTTCATGATTTTATGCATCTGAGAGTAGATATAAACACACATTATATCTGGAAGGTCACGAACATCTTTTAAATTGTTTATTTTCAGAAACTAGGAATTATCCATTTCCAGGTCTTATTGTGTCTCAAAATATGATATGTGCATCATACTCAATATTACGACTCTATATAATCTATAGAGCTCATTGAACTCGAATTGAAGAGGATGTTGAATAAACTTCAATAAAATGAATTCTAGGAACATCCACTCGTAATGCTAGAGCGCAGGCAGATGCAAAAAACAAATATTCCAACACTGAACACTTCACTTGGGTTGGCCTTACCCATTCCTTTGTTATTGTAGTAAGTCTTCTTAGAAAACAGATCTGGAAAATATCAATTTAAAGTTTAATTATGAACAGTATGAAAATCTCAATTTGTTGGAAATCGTATCTTATAAAATTAGAAAACTACTTTGAATTTAAAATTTTAGAGATTCAAAGTATTTCTGTAGAAGTTACATACAAACATTTATCTATTCAATAAAGCATTTTCGTATATGTTTGATGAGTGTATAACATTATTTTAAATTACCATGAAAGACAATATGAATAAAATTTGAGTTTCAGCTTCTGAGACCCAGTTCCTTTAGGTTTGTTTAGCCATTCTGACGTGCTTTCGTGTGTGGATATTTAAGAAAAACACATAAACAGTTACTAAAACAATTTTATGTTTATAATTCTAACCATAAATATAAACTAATATCCATAATTACCGAATCTAACTTTCTCTGAAATGAGTAAAATGCTTCAGAAAAATTTCAATTTTTTACTGAATGTTTCCCTTGGCAATTAAAACCATTTTTAAGAAACTAAGGAATCCTAATGAATAAAAGCATAAATTCACATTTAACTTAAGAGCTAGAAGCCTGGATAATCTGAAGATGTAAAAAACACAAAGTTGTTCCATAAGTATTTTATTTAAAATACATCAGTAACAAAAGCTCAACGTGAATAAAATAGTTTCAACTTGCGTTTAAAAATGGACATTGGCACATGGTTTGATAGCAGCATTAAACACACTTGGAAATTTCGAAAAGGAAAGAGTGCGTTACATCCTAACCTTTTTATACACCCTAACCTCTCACGCACCTTCCATTTACCATGGAGTGCCCTGGCAAAGCACATACAAGCGGCCGGCACTTCTTGAAAAAGGGATCATATTTCTGTCCAGACGGACAAGAAGGTACAGGCTGTATGGATACCCCCACCTGGTCTCCATCGCTTTGGTTAATGTCTAGTAAAAGAGCAAATGATAGTGGCTTTCTCCTCTTACCCGAAAGTCCTTTATCACAAACCAAAGCGTCCACACTTAAACCATTGCAGAGCGCGCAATGTGGATTTCTGAAAGCTTGATCATCATTTCCAGTTTTGTAGACCATCGCCAAATATGACTCGCAAGCTCTTTTCACTGGCAGTCGCTTCCATTTGGAAGGGCAAGTGGACACTATGTTTGCCCGGCATAACCTGACGTCTTTCCTAACGTAGGAAGGCATATCAAAGATCAGGTTACACGAGTGAAATTGCACAGTGTCGTTGTTGACTTCCACCCCCCATTGTTTTAAGTCGGACCTGTACTTGAGGTTGCTCCATATGTAGTTGTTAGTGACATCTGAAACATATTCGATACTTTCACAATTAAGCAAAATCAGCCACGATGTGAGGCTGGAGGGAGATGCAAGGTTGCATTCCGCGCAATATCTGTTCTTGTAAGTTACGTGTAGAGATGTGTCTGTCACCGGGGCAGACAACAGAGGGTCACTGATGTCATCGTCATTCTGACATTTGCGCTGTACTTCCTGACTTCCAGAGAAATCAGGAGAGCACGTGTTCACGACGTAGGCTCCCGTATTAGGCTCATTTCCAAAGGGCATGCAAGTCCCTCGACTCCATTGAGAGCTGGAACCCCTGGTTGATGACCGGTAAGTAGAGTCAATACAGCAGTCATTGTATACCGAACAGGAGCGATCACATTCGCAGTTTGTTTCGTTAAAGGTTGTGTGTCTAGTCGGTGAAGTGCAACTGTCACGGTTCCTGCAGGCTACGCCGATGGCTTCTAAATCGCTGTATTCGAGGGTATGTACGTTCAGTATAGACGCAAACGTGAAAGTTAAAAATTTAAGAAGTGATTTTCCTCTCTTCATTTCGATTTGCCAAGTTGTCTTATTTTCAAAATTCTAATTAGAAAATTACAGATTCCACAGTAGGATGAGGAATTGGCCAACTGAAAAATAAACAAATTAGAATCATTATAATTTTTATCATTGCATATTGTTAAAACATAGGCACTGATATATAATTTTAGATTAAATTTTGATCCGAAAAGCTTGTAATACTTGGAACGAGAGTAAATTTAAAATGATTGGTTTAATTTCAATTTAGTGCTCCGAAAGGCGGTAGGTTCAATTAAAACAACCATTTCCAAAAATTCCGTTTAGACGTATGGAAATTTATTGAAAATATCTAAATAAGGGACGATTTTTAAAAACATACTGTAAAACATGGGATTTATATATCAGTAGCGTACTCAAAATTTAAAATGCATTAATTTTGGTAGCGTCTCAATATGATATACCTTGTTTCTTTTGGTATTTGTAATATCTTTCATTATGAGTCTGTAAATTTTATAATCAACTGTAAGGATTATGTTAATTTATCTAACAGTTAAATTTTGAGTTAAATTTCCTTTCCAGTCTTCCTAAATTTCAACTTACAACTTTCGGCCAGAACGTAGTTTTAGAATAGCGTTTGAATGCAAATGAGTAGAAGTATTTAACGGTGAAGTTCTACTGACTTCGTTAGAGAGAACCAGGGTTTCTGGCTATCGCGCGTCCGCCTTTTTAGGCTACTCTCTCTTAAGCTATTATTACGCTCGGCCGTTAAGATAAGTTTAGTTCTTAGTTTCCTAAGTTTAAGCCCGAGCGGCGGCTTTATTTTAAAACTCCAAAACAGAGTTCTGTTAAACTTTACTGGAATAATAACGGGTAATTTCTCCCTTCTTGCGTGTTGTTATCTATCACACAAACTCAAGCGATTATTCGCTGATCAGTTCTTAAGATTCTTCACCTTCAACTGTAACTTAAAAGTACACAGCACAGAACCTTACACACTTATTAATATGTCTTCTTTGAATTTCGTTTCTTCATTTTATATTAATAAAAGAAGTTTTTATCATTAGCTTTGCAGATAGATTAGATCTTTTAAATGTACGGTAAATGCGATACATTTAAAAAATGCCTTTGAGAACTTTCTAAATACTGGACCCTTACTTACACATCACTTATGAGGAAACCGCAAAACCTTTGTGCAGTCACTCTGTTTAACCGCCAGGAGTTGAAATTTGAACGAAGCGTTTCTTAGTTTTAATACTTCAATCATTATTAGGTCATCGGAGAAATATTTTAATACGAAAATGATATACTTTTTTTTAAAAAAGTAAATATATTTGCCTATTAAAATAAAATGAAATATCACAATTTATCTGATCAAGTTATTTTACAGAAAATTTTGAAGAACAAAGCATGAGCATGGTTGTATTCATTGTTTAATGTTAACGTTCGTTGCTTAACGTTAGCATTAAACAATAAACTTAAAATTTCATGCTATCATTGTCAAAGAAAGTTAGTCATACTATTTACTAAACATAAAGATAAATTTGGTGGAGAATTTTCTGAGTGAAACCAGCTCATTTTCACCACTAAGAGAAAACCATCCATGCAACCAGCCCGTTCGCCTGAGTTCGAACTCTTGCCAAATTATCAATATTCAGCGGCTTTAATTACTCGACCGCTAGAAGTACAAAAAATATTATACAGAGTTGTTTTAAAATAACGTGAGGTATTTGGAACCCTCTAGAGAGTAAAGTCTTCGGCGAAACCTGAACAAAATTGATGGACATACATAGTGAAGCAAGGGATTTCAATTTCTAAAAAAAGTTCTAAAAATTGCCACCAGGGGAAATGTGTATTAGTGTGAATAATGAGTGACTAAATGCCAAATGACACAGCACAAAAATTTATTAACAAATTATTGTTACAAATAAGGTTCAATATGATCATCAATGTGACGTTCCAAGAATTGCCTACGTTGTACATTTGCCATGGCGGCTCGCAGTGTATCAGAATTAATTTGTGTCATCTACGACTTTATTCGATCTTTCAAATTTGCCATATCGAGGACGTTCCCTTAGTTTCAAATTGTTGAATCAAGTTTCGCAAGTTTGTTGTGCTCATCGGCCCTTCTCGCAATGCAACCGCCGAAATTCACAAAGATAGCATTGGCATTTTCTTTCAGCTTTATAATACAGTTTGACTAACAAAGCACGGTCCCGCAAAGCAATAGCTATCGGAAGGCAATTAACCCCAAAATAATTGAGAATTCTTCCTGCCTTTCCTTTTATACACACGATCATTATACGGAATGCGATTATGCAAATTAATGCATTTTATTCGGTAAACTGGGCCAACATTTTTTTTAAGAAATCGAAATCTCGTGTTTCGCTATGTATGCCCATCAAATTTGTTTATGATTCGTCCAGTACGTTACTCTCTAGAGTGCTCTGAATACCTCAAGTTATTTTAAAACCACCATGTAGTATATAGAAAGTGTAATTATCTTATGTTTAACACGTAAACAGGAATTTATTTCTCTCCGCGAAGGCATCCTTCTCCTTAGACAAACATCGTGTGCTTTACTGTAATCGAATAAAAAATAACCTGTGTTGCAGAAAATCTATTGAGCTGAAAAAAGGTTTAATGACAAATCATGGTATAAATGCATTACAGCAAACGCCTTAGCATTTGCATTACAACCATGCGTGTAACAATGACGATGATCGCCATTTTCGTACGAGTTCTTTTTGTTGAGTTACAAGAATATACGCTTGTGGAATTTGTCTCCAACAGAAGAAATTGCGTCAAATTTCTGCTGGAACAGAGTATTTTGCCCCAAAATAGCTAAAGTGTTTTGGAACAAGTAAAAGTCTGAATCTTTTGTAAAAGTGATCACCACAACAAATAAAACAAAAACCCGTTTATAAGTAGATTTATTTATTTATTTTTAGGACAAATATTCATTTAAGATGTAAAATATGTATCTAATATATATGAGCAATTATAAGTCGTCATTCGTTTTCTTTTGTAGAAAATCGCCAAACTGCGCCAAGGTGTTTGCGCTAATACATAAGTACGAAAAGGAATTTTGTAGCCCGGCTGAGCCTTGGCCAGCATTGGCGCAGCATTAACAAGTAGATAAGATTACTAAAACCTTCAATGAAGTAGCTCGATACGAAAATGGTCTTTAGCAAAAATAAGTTGGTTTCAAGAGCATTTTCGAGCTGACGTGTTACATGAATATAAACCGGTTTTCCTCATTCAGAAAGTTTCAGACAGATATCCTCCACTTTAAGCAGAAATTCTCTTGTTCTGCTGAAACTGATCAACAAACAACATAAGTGTTTTTAAGTTTAAATATACCTTTCTCTAATGTAAATTCTTATTAAATTCTTTTGTGAATCAGACGATAAGAAAACAAATGCGATACTGCTATAACAAAGCTGAAAACTACGTTAGTCATTTATTTATTGATACGTCTGATTGTTACTACATCCCATTCGCAAAAATTAAGATTAATTCCCAAAATCAAAATCTTTTTTTAAATTTTGAACTTCTTGCAATTATTGTATATAATTTACGAACGCAAAAGGCACTTTTGAAATTGTCTAATACTGAGTATATAAGCTGAAAAGATTTGATACCAAATGTTCTAATGTGAATATATTATCCCATTAGGCACAGAATAGGGAATAGTTTGCTTAGGGAAATCTCAGGGAGGGTAATCTGCTTGAGGGAAAGATGGCTTCGTGGAGACCTTCCTAAGAGAAAATATCTGGTATTTAGGTTACACATAGGAAATCTACGAAAACACGCATAGATTTACATTGCAATATTTCATTACTTTATTTCATCTAAATATATAAATCTAAAGTAGAGTCATCTAATGAAATATAAATTTAATATAAATACAAGTACTTTTGATTTATTAAATTTAATTAGTACTAAAAATAAGTGCTAAACAATGTTTTAAAATTTTGTTAAAGTAATTCATACTTAAGATATTTTTTATAAATATTATAGAAAAATATTTAAAAATTAAACTAATCTATAAAGTAAGTTATTAAGTTATGCATTTTGTATATTTTAAAAAAATTGTATTTCCGAAATCAATGCAAATCACATGTTAGCAATTATTTCACTACTGAAATATGACTTTATTTATTATTTTTGAAGAAAGGACGAATTTATTTGAATTAATATGGTAACATTATATGAAACATTTTATCGCTACAGTGCAAAAAGTACAATTTTCGCGAAGATATGATTTTGCGTGAAGATGTATTCACGGATAGAAATGGGGCGATTTTAAGAATTCCGAGAAAACGTCCAATGTTAAAAGAAGAATTATATTTAATGGCTGTCCAATATATATGACGCAAAACTCAGCGACAGTCAGAAGAAGCAGAACGGTACATTATTATTTACCGGATGCTTATATAAAACGGATGCATCTCGAGATTTGCGCGCTTTGGCTAGCAGCCAAATTCGAACAAGTAACTGAGCAATTAATTGAAATTTTAGCAGTTCTGTCAAGTAGTTTGGTAAAGATGCCATCTGTAAGGCATTTGAAAAGACCGACTTCATGTTTGAAATTGAATCAAACAATGACTGATATAAATAATATTGCTTATATTAGAAGTAAATGTAATGCACTGTCAATCAAAGAACGCATTGTGAATCTTCTCATTGTTCTGTATCTACTTACTTCAACTGCCTTCAGCGAGTGAAATTCCATTGCTGTGAGCTCCTGCTTGGAAGCCTCTGAGTTGAGGAGAAATCATCGTGAGAATGCTGAATTTGTGCTTATTTTGTTTGTGAATATCTGCTTTACAAGAAATGCTCCAATGTTAATTGTGAATATAGTGTTCGGTTTTGGTATTTTATGTGTTTCCGATGATTAAAATTATATGGTAGTTATTATTCTTCAATCTTCAGTGGTTTCAGCGGCGCAATATTTGGATACACGGTTTAGCGATTCGGTTATAACGTCCTTAAGTGCTATATCATATATCATTTATATTAATCGATTATTGTGATAGTGCTCAGAATTAATTCATATAAAACCAAAAATAACATACAACGGTAAGGCATTTCCTAGTTTTGCTAAAAATGCAATCAATGCAGAAGCAACAACA